AACAAATAGGAAAATTATCGTCCACCCTGAAAACGCCGATATTTAAAGAGATCATCTTCATCTTCTTGACGAGTTGTTCGCACGGCATTGAGAAATGAAAAGACTGGCCGTTGTTGAACTCGTAAACGTAAATGATTCCGTCTTTAACGTATCGATTGCGTTCAACGATCTCGGTGGCTGGGAGATTAATGAAGACCACTTTCGCAACAAGCTTCGACCCCTCTGTATCCTTGTACACCTCCTTATTTATCATTAACTGCGACACGCAAATGTCGCAAATGTACAATCCGTACATGATTGAAATTGAACGAAAATTCCCGAGGTTATGGGGATACTTGATGAATTTTAAGAAATGAAGTTGCAACAGTTTCGCACGAAAGTTTATGACGAGTTTGTTGTACTAGAATTTTATGTACTCGTGGGTAATTGAAAGGCGTCGAAATGCAGACGATGCGTGTAATACATAAAAATATGTTTAAAATAAGTGTTTATTATAATTACGCGTTGATAAGAAACTGGAAGCTACAAAATTGCACACGGAAGCATGTAATGTGTAAAAATATGTAAAATATTTAAAGTAGAGTATTTATTAATATTTACTATACATAATAAATGAAACAAATTATGTTCCTAAGCTTCTTAGGTTTCTTTAGTTTCTCAGGTTTTCAATTTCTTTAAGTCTTTAATTCTTTAATTTATCGACTTTCTTTAGACAAACAGACCAAACAAATTCCTATGCGTAAGTTTCTTTAGTTGTTTTTTAGATCTTTAATTCTTTGATTTCTTAGTTTTTCTTAATTATAAATTTCCATACAGGAACAGTTCTTTTAGCTATGTTTCTTAGGTTTCTTGGGTTTTCAATTCTTTGGCTTCTTAGGTTTCTTTTAACTATAAATAGATAAAACAAATTTTTGCATTTCCTTTAGTTACGTTTCTTAAGTTTCTTTAGTTTGTTTTGGATCTTTAATGCTTGAGTCTCCTGAATAATAAATAAAATAAATGATAAAACAAATTTCTACATAGATTTCTTTAGTTTCCTTGGATTCGTTATTCTTTGGCTTCTTAGAATTTTTCAGTTCATAAATAGACGAGAGATTTAGCTACGTTATTTCAGGTTTCTCTAACATTCTCGGGTCTTTCTTTAATTCTTCAATTCTCTAGTTGCCATCATAAAAGCTTGCGTAAAAGTCCACAGTCTATAAATAATTGCTGTTACAACGTATATATACGTAACAAACGTGATATTATAAAAATAAAAAAAATGAAACTTACGAATCGTTTTAAAATTCTAACATTGCCCTAATTGCCGAACAAGACTCGCAAGCAAGTTGGTTCGTGAAGTTCGGTGATTTATAGCCGGGTCACCATGCTTACTGAATATTTCATGCTCCTCCAGGCGAGGTTAACCGCCCGAGTTTACGAACGATGAAAGACGAAAGGGTTTAAGTGTCTGGGTTAGGCGTACATAGGTTAAGTCAGGGTTAGAAACCGTGAAACCGGTTTCAGAATCGCGGGTCGGTGGTTCGTGGCTGATGTGATTTACAGTTAGACACACGGATTAATAGACTCGTTCGCCGATAATTGTCGAAACATCGTTCACTGTTTGTCGCCGAATTGTTCCATTTCACATAAGAATAAAAATCATGAAACAGTTAGAAAAAATACAGATATATTGTACGTTTATTAATCCTGTTACGATCCTTCAATTTTTGTATTTCAATCTCCCTCTCATTTTGGTGAACGAAGAACAAGTTTTAAGAAAAAACTTCAAACAAAGAAGTAACATGAGAAACCATATTATGCTAATAAAATTTTATATACATGAAATATATGTATGTATATATATATTTTTTTTCAAATATTTGAGAGTTGAAAATTGAAAATGCAGAAAATTGTAGAAAACGTGCCACTAAATAATACATTGTACAATTTCACTAGAAATTATATTGCAGCCATATATCTCGCAAGAAATGTTCATTTCTCCGGTCAACGGCGTTGGTTTTATTTATAGCTTCAATTAAAACGGCTATATGATTCTATTGAGAAATGTTAAAATAAACCGTACGGGGCAACAATTCATTTTCTCGCTAGACACGATGAGAGGATTAGTTGATAAAGTTATTAAGCAGGAAACGATTTCCTACAGAAGATATGTAAAAACAGAGACGTTGGAATAACTTCTTAATCACTTTTTAATTACGTGGTAATTAGAACATCGATTCGATGTTATGGCAAACTACAGTTTCTTATCGATGTAATACAATTCCTACTATATATATATTGCCGCGGCTGTGTTACAAAATTTTTCTGTCGATACTAATTAGTTCGACGTCAGCTGGCTGCTATATATATATCGCAATATCCTGATCATTTATCTGATAGCGAGGCTACATTTATCTTATTTGAAGGCTACAATTTGCTACCTTAATTCTTCTGTTTCGCCTCTGTAAAATGTAGACTTTAATCGGCGATCGAACTTACTCTATCATATTTAAACAAACTTTCTTGTACGTGTGCGTCAGTATTAAATTATGAAACACGTTTCATTTAAAAAATTCGTACATTTATTTGTATCCTCGATGATAGAAATCGCTGTGATCTGACTTTAATTTCACTTGAAAGTAAAACGAAAATTGTAATCTCTTGACGTTTGTTGGAATCGTTTGAAATCCCGCAACTCGTTAGAAAACTTAATGTGAGGATCAACATAAGTAAGTACTCATGAAATTAAAAAAAAAAATAAAAAAAATAGAAATCATTAGTCCTATTTAGTCATTAAGAAGTTCGAGGGTCCCACCGCGTCCAGTCGCGGTTTCTCTCACTCACTCATATCTCGCAATTAGGATATCGCGCCAGTGAATCTTTCTGCGCTTTACAACCGTTTTAACCGCCTGTTCTGTGACAGGGGTTGTTATTTCTTTTGCAGTGTTGCCTAACATCCGCCCAGACAGCGAGTTTCTCAGTGAAACGAATCAGACCGCCTGTTCCTTTGCACTCGAACGTGCAATTGAAATAACTTCACTCAGAAGTTAGGGGTATTTTTATGGCATTTAGCACAAACATCGGTCAATTTGGACGCGTTACGTTCTTGTGTAAGATGGCGATGTGTGATTATGCGAATTAAATCGTCTGTCAGTGTCTTGGTAAATGGGGAAAAATGGAACCACGAAAGGTGGTTTTTCAGTTGATTTGGGCTTTGCTTTCTTGCGTGTATTTGCGCACAGTAATTACGTTCAATTATATCCAATGATTTAGCTAACCATGAAAATAAATTTCGTAATTCCTGTTGCGTAGTAATAATGCAACGAATTAAATCCTAATCCTGACGATTTAATTAATACGATCCCATCAGGAAGAATAATTTTTATTGATCTTCAAAATTATTTCGCTTTACTGCTTAGTTTACACTTGCTTTCAGTTTTACACGATTACGCAGATTAAATGTTTAAGGTGATTTTTACATTGGGGCTTTTAATACTGGAACTAAAGCTACTTACAATGCGTTACAATGTAAATTTCTTCTAAAGCTTCTTCTACCGGGACTTGAAACCGTTCAGAAAACGATAATACACGTATTCCATCGTTCTTCCATCGCGTTATTTAATTTCTCGTGTACTTTCCATCTCGATTTCTTTCGTTCGCTAACAGCTACAGCGCTGAATTGACTCGGGCCATAAGTAACACATGTACTTAAAATTCTTCAGCGATTTCCAGGTGATAATGGCCGGTTGTACGCAACTTAAATGCTTATCGATTAATTTAAAAATGTAGTTTAAAACGTTTTCGTGTAGGAATGGCGATTTTTACGGTGGCCGAACCAAAGTTACTAGACTCGGCGTTTCTTCGGCGATTTCGATAGCGATAATAATCGGCTATCCATGCCGAATCGTTTTGTCCGTTTTCTAAATGTACAACTGCAATTGAAACATTCTTGAGTAGAAAGGGTGACTTTCGTTACGGGCGTTTCTCAGTATGTAAGTACGTGCGTTCGTTTAGGTTATTGGTTATCCAGACTTGCAGCATTCTTCCGTAATTCCCACGTGGTAATGAATGGTTGTTCATTAAGTAAATCCCTCTGTCTGTTTGTTAAACGCAGAAACACAGGTCGAAAAGGTAACGTTACATTGCATTACGTTTAAGTTCCTTTGGACTATTGCTAATCTGGAATTTATCCTCTTGTATAATTTCGAGTGATATAGTAATGAATGGTTGTGTAGTATGGACTGAGTTGTTTTGTTTATTTCTTACACTCGAACGTGTTATTGAAATACTTTAGAAACAGTAAGAGAAAAAGAGAGAGAATTTTATTTTGTGATTCACTTTGTTTTAAGAATTAAAAACAATTTAGAAATAATTAATATTTCAGACGATTTGAATGTCAAATAAAGATAAGTATAAACGTTGCCTCGAGTAAATACAGCGGTATTATAGTAAACTGAATTAATTCAACATTTTCGTTTCTTTATATGGAACGAAATATCTTTGTACGAAATTATAAGAAAATAAAATTAAATAGCACTTCAATCAGAAACAAGAAGAAAAATACGTGTTTAATTGTCTGTTTGATAAATAAATATCTTCGTTATCACTATCAATATGATAAATGTGAATAAATTTCATCGCAATAAATGTTCTCCAACGTAAAGGCAAATTACGAGACAATGCCAGATATCAGTGCGATTAAAATGTGATTAAACGAAAAAGAATGTGTTACTTTGAAATTATTCAGAAAGAAATCCTATCTTAATCTTGCCTCGCAGCAATTCCGATGCATTCGCATGTTAATCGAACGAACGATTATGCGTAAAAAAGTTATAATTACACGCATTCTGCACGGCAGTGTAACCCGTATCGATATAATTACCACGTACGCCACAGAATTATATAATAATCCTCTGGAAAAAAAAAAAAATGGTAGCAAAAACCAGCGCAAGAAAATCGACGAGTAAAATAAAAAAATCCGTAATAACTAAATAAGTGCTTCTTAATTATTGTTGTTAAAGAAGATGAACGGTCAATTATGTTTTCTTTCTTTCTTTCTTTTTTTTTTTTTTTTTTTTTTGTTTCAAGGAACCAGCTGCACAACTTCACCATATGGCATAGTATTCTTGTTCTTTGTACAATATTATTTAGTCCGGGCATGTTGACGTTAATGATCAACTTGAATGTCTAGGAAAGGTTATTTGACGTGCAATTTAATGACAGACCATGAATTCTTGCGAGATATCTTATTAAACACAGATTTTACTCTTAATCTCATTCTTTGAAATTTCGCTTTTTATTTTTCATTTACTT